TGATTTCAGTGAATCATACAAAACATTTGTGTATTAGCCATATTGCAAAAAAAGGGGGGGGGGCAAGAAAAATAAAGTGAAAAATTTGCGCTTCAGTCTGCACTCAGAGTTCATCACTCCTTTCTCTGGAGGTGGGTAGCATTTTTCATCATGAGGCCTTCAGAATTGTCTTGGATCATTGTATTGATCAGATTAACTAAGTCTTTCACAATTTATCATTGCACTTATTGCTATTACTGTGTACAATGTTGTCCTGGATCCATTCACTTCACTTTGCATCAGTTCGTATAAGGCTTTTCAGGTTTTTCTGAAACCATCCTTTTTGTCATTTCTTATAACATAGTAGCTTTCCATCACAATCACATACCACAACTTGTTCAGCCATTCTGTAGTTGATGGGCTTCCCCTCATTTTCTAGTTCTTTGCTACCATAAAAAGAGCTGGTATAAATATTTTTGTACATATAGGTCCTTTTCCCTTATATTTTTATTTCTTTGGGATATAGACCTAGTAGTGGTATTGCACAGTTTTATAGCCTTTTGGGTATAGTTTCAATTGTTCAGGAGACCAGATCACAACTCTACCAACAGTGCATTAGTGTCTCAATTTTTCAACATCCTCTCCAGCATTTGTTATTTTCCTTTTCTATCATGTTAGAATCTGATAGATGTGAGGTGGTACCTCAGAGTTTTAAGTTACATTTCTCTAATCAGTGATGACTTGGAGCATTTTTTTTTCATATGACTATAAATACCTTTGATTTCTTCTTCTGAAAATTGCTTGTTCATTTTTGTTGTTGTTGAGTCATTTCAGTCATGTCTGACTCTTTAAGACCCCACTTGGAGTTTTCTCAGGAAAGATACTGGAGTGGTTTGCCATTTCCTTCTCCATTGGATCCTGTGTATCCATTTTTTCAGGCAATCAAGTTAAGTGACTTGCCCAGGGTCACACATCTAGGAAGTATCTGAGACAGGATTTGAACTGAGGTATTCCTGACTCTAGGCCCAGTGCTCCATCCACTGAGCCACCAGCCTCCTGTCATATCCTTTGATCATTTATCAATTGGGGAATGGCTCTTATTTTTATAAATGTGGTTCCATTCCCTATATATTTGAAAAATGAGGACTTTATTAGAGAAATTTTCTGTAAAATTTTTTTCCCAGTTTTCTGCTTTCCTTCTAATCTTGGCTGCTTTGATTTTGTTTGTGCATTAAACTTTTACTTTAACGTATCTGAAATTATTCATTTTACTTTCTGTGATCCTTTCTCTTTTTTGGTCATAAATTCTTCTCTTATCCATAGATCCTGACAGGTAAAATTTTCCACGCTCCTTTAGTTTATCTATGATGTCATCCTTTCTGTCTACATCATGTCCTCATTTTGACTTTATCTTGGTATCTGATGTGAAATTGTGGTCTCTTCCTAGTTTCTACCAAACTGCTTTCTGGTTTTCCTGGCAGTTTTTGTCAAATAGTGAATTCTTGTCCCAAAAGTTTGGATCTTTGAGTTTACCAAATGCCAGATTACTACAGTCATTTACTACTGTGTGTACATTTACTATATGTACCTAATCTATTCCATTCATCCATCACTCTGTTTTTTTAGCCAGTATCAGATTGTTTTGATGATTACTGCTTTGTAATATACTTTGAAATCTGATACTGCCAGGCCACCTTCCTTCACATTTTTTTCATTGATTCCTTTGATATCCTTGACCTTTGTTCCTCCAGATAAGTTTTGATACTATTTTTTCTAGCTCTTTAAAATGATTTTGGTAGATTGAATGGTGTGGCGCTGAATAAGTAAATTGATTTAAGTAGAATTGTAATTTTTATTACATTGACTCAACATACTGATGAGCAATTAATATTTCTCCATTTGTTTAGATTTGACTTTGTGTGAAAATTGTTTTGTAATTGCATTCATATGGTTTCTGGGTTTGTCTTGGCAGGTAGACCCCCAACTATCATATATTGTCTGCAGCTATTTTAAATAGAATTTCTCTTTCTGTCTCTTCTTGATGGACTGTGTTGGTAATATGTAGAAATGCTAATGATTTATTTGTGTTCATTTTATATCCTGCAACTTTGTTAAAGTTGTTAATTGTTTAAACTAGTGTTTTTAGTTAATTCCCTAGGACTCTTTAAGCACACCATCATATTGTCTGCCAAGAGTGATAGTTTTGTTCCTTTGATTTCTTTTCTTGTCTTATTGCTATAGTTAGCATTTCTAGTACCACATTGAGTAATAGTGGTAATAATGGACATCCTTATTTTTGTCACTTTTTAAAAACAAAATTACATCTTTTTCTCCTGAATAATTGAACCAGTTCATTACCAATAACAATGTGTTAGTGTGTCTATCCTTATTTTCTTTTATTCTGAACTTAAAACACAAAAAATGAGCATTTCCATAGACACACCAGAACATGAATATTCGGTGTGAAACCATAAATTTCCATTTTATACCACTTGTTTTTTAAATAATATATATATATATTTTAAATAATATATAAAATAAATTCAAAACTGACCTGCTTATCTGTGCTTCCTTTTAAACTTCTTTCTGTTTTCTTCTGTTCATTAAAAATGGTTCAGTGGCCTTATTTTTGTCATCCCTATTGCTAACCCTGCTAATTTCCTCATACCCCATTTGCATTAAAAACAGAGGGGGAAAAAACAACAACCCTTGTAATCCATAAGTGTAGTCAAGCATAATGAATCCACACAGAAATCTTTTTAAAAAATGTATGTCTTTGTACCATATATCTGTCCATCACATCTCTGTCATGAACTAGGTAGCATGCTTCATCATTGCAGAGTTCTTAAATCTTTCAAAGTTGTTTTTCATTACAATGTTTCTGTCCAGGCAGGTATGTTGACAACACATTTGTAATCCTTGGTTTCAGGAGTCTGAGGCTGGTGGATCACTTGTGCTTGGATGTTTTGAGCTGTAGCAGAGCTATGCTGATTGGGTATTTATACTAAGTCCAGTATATGAGTTCTTAGAAGCAAGGTGCCACTAGGCTGCCTAAGGAAGGGCTAACCAATCCAAGCTAGAAATGGAGTAGGTCTTAAGGGCTCATGACAAACAGTAGTGAGATTATGACATATCTTTTATATTTAAGTTCAGCTCTCTCTTTTGAACTTGTTATAGTCTATAGTACTGTTCTATATCTTCTTTCTTTCTTTCTTTTTCTTTCTTTCTTTCTTCCTTCCTTCCTTCCTTCCTTCCTTTCTTTCTTTCTCTTTTTTTTGGCCAAAATGTTTCCCAGATTTTCCAGCAGCTCTTAATAAATAGGGTATCATTCCCAGTGATGTGCTGGAACCAGCTTATACTAGCTATTAGATTGTTATATTTTCAGTGTGAACATTTACACCTTGGAAATGGGTAAATGGCTACAAATCAGAACTTGATTATTGTGTTGTTGCTTGTCTAACACTGGAACATTGGGTTTTATTGAAATGGAATAAGCATTTATTAAGTGTCTACTGTATGCCAAGAACTGTGCTAACAGCTTTACAAATATTATTTCATTTGATTACTTATCTAATTTGTTTCAGTGGTCACTTTTCTATTTTTTGACCAGTGTCACATAGTTTGATGATTACAGCTTTATAATATACTTTGAGTTCTCAAACTATTGTTCTCCATTTCTACTTGTTTTCATTATTTTCCTTGAGATTATAGACTTCTCATGTGATCATTATTATTATGCTTATTAAGTGCCCATAAGCTTCTCTTTATTCATGAATTTTAGACTTTTGCTAAAAATAAAAGTAAAGGTCACCAATTTACAGTTTGATGAATCCGCTTTCTTTCTCTTTTTAAATATCAGGACAGCATTTAACTATCTCCTGTCTTGTTACCTTTCCTGTTCTACAAATTTTTTCACAGGCCATAATTAATGCCTCAAGAATCACATTGTCAAGTCTTAGTGCTCTGGGACATAATTTTCATGCTATTGGATAAAATTTTCATTGACCTGATTATAAATAAATAATATCACAAAAATTCAAGAATACTTTTAAAATCAGGTATTGTGAAGAAGCAGAGCTTTAAAAAATAATATATTTAAATTAACAGAAAGATTTATGGTTTAAAAAAAAAAAAGATTACCTCACTCCAGTTGGTAAGATCACTATGCTGTACTTACCTTACAGTAGTGACCCTCAAATGGCAGGAAATGTGCTTATGCTTCTCTTATCTTTACCACTGTGTTTGTAAAAATTCTTCATAACTCTTCATAAAGTCAGGTCATTTTTTCTGTTAGTTTGAAAAACTATCTTTATCTTTTTAGTTTGTATCTGGAAGAATTCTTATTTTTATGCTTCTCCCTTCCCTTAAACTTACTTCTTTCCATGAACCGTCAATTCACACTAACTGTGCCTTTTATCTTAGTATCATTGGACAAAATGATTGATGTAGTTGTTGCTAAGCTTGGGAGATGGCTTTGTGTTTTGTTTTTCTGGGATATGTAGTTGTCTGACAACTGATAGGATCATAATAGACCCCCAAAATTGTGAGCTTCAGTCTTCAGACTGAACTAATGACCTAAGGAATTTTTATAAATCAAAAATTCTAAGCTAATTTTTCTTAAATAAGGCATATTTATACTTTAAAAATGTATAAATAATTTGTAAAAGTATACTTTCATTATTTGGAATAAAAATTTTATTTTTTAAAGGTTTTGTTGTTAGCTTTTATTTTTGCATTACTTTCATTTGCTAATCCTTTCTTTTTCACCAACCAGAGAGCCATCCCATATAACAAAGAATCAGGAAGGAAATTAAAAAAAAAATAGTTTAGCATATTAGCTAAATCCAACAGTATATGTAGTTGGGCTGGAAATTCTGGAACATAATTTCTTCAACTATTTAATCCATTTTACTGTTTTTTGGGGTTTTTTTGCTTATTTTGAATTTTTAAATTTCTTTTGATCACAAATTTATTTTCATATAAGACAAGATTTTTCATTTCTGTATTTCTTCTCCCTCCAGCATTTTCATGATGGTCGGAAGGCTCAACAACACATTGAAACTTGCTGGAAACAACTTGAATCAGTAAGTGAAATCCCCTGAAGAGATATATTTATAGACTCTTTCAAAGTGACTTTCATGGAATTTTATTTCTAAAATAGTTCTAAGATAATGTGAGTCCTAAAAGAGCATAATCAATATTATATTTTCTTAACAAGGAGTAATGTTGTATACTCACCTTCATTTTATTTTTTTCCTACCATCTCAGGATTAGACAACTTTCAGATGTTTGTCCTTGCATTTTATTGAAGCAAATGTATGTACATTTTAAAGGAAAGTTTACAACACTGATTACAACAAATTATCTTAGCACAGGTGCTCTTTATTGTGCTTAATTTTAAGTAATATCTTTTGCTTCTTTGAATCTAATGGCTTCATAATTACTTTTTTTTTTTTTAGAGTAAACGACGATTTGAGAGAGATTGCAAAGAAGCTGACAGAGCACAACAGTATTTTGAAAAAATGGATGCTGACATTAATGTTACAAAAGCAGATGTTGAAAAGGTATACTCTGTCATATTCTTTCTTTTACTTCCCTATTTGTCCTTGTCACTATTTGTCATTTTCTTGAATCTGTTCTCCCCAAAGTTCTACTTTCAAGCCCATAGAAAGCACATTATTTGTGATGTTTCTTCTTTGTTGTTATTACTTTAAAGTTCAGGATCTGAAATTCAGTAGTTCTTACCATTGTGAATTTAGGAAGTATATTTATTGTTTGTGTTATCAATAAGAAAAAAAAGACAAATATTTTGGTACCTTATGTGAAAAGTACGTAAGGATACTGACCTTATAATCTTCTAAAGAAAAAGTACCCTTCCTGTTAGAGTTGATTGCCAAATAAAACAGGAATCCCCAGGCACTAGACATTTCAAAATGCTTCTGAACTTTAGTTCACATATGAAAATGAAATTTTACTGACATAAACAGAAGTCCTAGAAATGTTCTTTTTTCTCTTCCATTTGTTCAGATTGGTAAATAACATTACTTTTTTTCTTTTTTAACTGCTAGGTCATTTCTCTCAATGGGCTCTTTGGCCAATTATGAGGGGTATGAAGAGCAGTGAAGCAAAAAAAAACAGTTGCTTCTTTCAAGGAGTTTGCAGTCTAGTGGAGAGACAGTAGGCAAACAAATATATACATACAAGCTTTATAGGGAATAAATAGGAAATGGGAGGTGGGAAGACACTAGAATTTAGAGGGGTTGGGAAAAACTTCTAATAAAAGATGAGACTTTCATTGGAACTTAAAAGAAGCCAGGGAAGTCAGTAGGTAGAGGTGAGAAGGGAAAGCATTTCAGGCATAAGGGACAACCAGAGGTGGAGTATCTGAGAGAATAATGGTAGGGAACAAGAGGTAAGAAGACTGAAAAGGTAGAAGGGGGCTAGATGATGAAGGGCTTTGTATATCCAACAGAGGATTTGTATTTGATCCTGGTGGTGATAGGGAGCCACACCTGCAATTTAGGAAAATTATTTAAGTGACTAAATGGAAGATGGATGAAAGTGAGGAGAAACTTTAGCAGGCAGACCCACTGGTAAGCTATTGCAATAGTCCAGGTATGAGGTGACAAGGGCCTGCATTAGAATGGTAACAGTGTCAGAGGAGTCAAGGCGGTGCATTGGATATGGTGGGGGATGAGAGCGAGGAATCAAGGTGGATTCCTATGGTGCAAGCCTGAGGGACTTGGAGGATAGTGTGGCCCTTGATGGTAACAGGGATTGGAAGAGGGCGGGGAACCTGGGGCCTCAAGGCCACATGTAGCCTTCTGGCTCCTTGGGTGCGGCCTTTTGACTGAGTCCAAGTTTTAGGAACAAATCCTTTTATTAAGGGGATTTGTTCTGGATTCAGTCAAAGAGCTGTACTTGAGGACCTAGAGGGCCACCTGTGGAGGCCACAGGTTCCCCACCCCTGTTTTAGGAGGAAAGATAATGAGTTCTGTTTTGGACTGGTAGAGTTTAAGATGTTTAATGGACATCCAGTTGGAGATGTGAGATTGGTAGTAAATAGGTACATTGAGGCAGGATAGCTAGATTTAAGAATCATTAGCATAAATATGGTAATCAAATACGTGGTAGCTCAAGTGAAATAGTATAGAAGAAGAGAAAAAGGCCTAGGACAGAACCCTGAGGGACATCTACAGTTAGTAGATGTAATATGGATAAGGCCAGCAAAAGAGACTGAGATGGATTGGTCAGATAGGTAGGAGGAGAACCAGGAGAGTGTGATGTCCCAAAAACCTAGAGAGAAGAGAATATTAAGGAGAAAGAGGGTTGAGAAAAGACCATGGATTTGGCAACTAAGAGATCGTTAGTAACTTTGCAAAGAGCACTTTGGGTGGAGTGATAAGGTCAGAAATCAGACTGTAAGGGGGTAAGGAGAAAGTAAAGGAGAAAAAGTAGAGGAACCTATTGTGGATGACTTTTTCAAGGAGTTTAGCCACAAAAGGCAAAAGAAATATAGGATAATAGTTGGGGGAGATGAAAGGATCAAGGGAGGGTTTTTTTCCCCCCCAGAATGTGGGAGGCATGGGCATGTTTATAGGCAGTGAGGAATGAACCAGTAGACAGGAAGAGATTGAAACTGACAGAATGGGGATGACAGAGGGGGCGGTCTTTTGGAGGAGATGGGATGGGATGAGGTCACATGAGCCTGTAGAGGGGACAGCTTTGGTAAGGAGTAAGGACACCTCATCATGTGAGACAGGAGTGAAGGAGGAGAGATTGCAGGAAGAGAGATGAGGGAGTTCACAGCAAAATGGCCTTAATTTTTTCTGCATGTAAATATGTGTTTAAGTAGAGAGTTTTTTCTTAGGTAGTTTATGTTTTCAGGTCTATATTCTGGTTCTTTTGTTCTTCCAAATGAACTTTGTTATTTTGGGTACCTCTTTAAAGTATTTCTTTGAGAGTTTGCTTGATATACCTGTAACTTTATAAATAAATTTGGCAAAACTGTCATTTTCACTATTTTGGCAGAGCCCAGGCACAAGTATTGAATATCTCTCTAGTTAATTTGTTATTCTTTATTTCTTTAAGCAATGAGTATTTTGTATCTCTATAGATTTTCACTATACTTTTGTGAATTGGTGCTAAGATTAATTATGCACCAAGGAATGGAAAGGAGGCTGACACAGAGCACCATGACAAGAAGCACTGAGGTGTAGACAGAGATCCTAGGGAATCTCTGATCTATCACTGGGTGCAGAAATGGGCACTTTCTTTCAGTTGTTTCTCCCTTTACTCAGTTTCAGGTTACAAATTCAGGGTGAGTAGAAGTGGTAATGAAAAAATGGGAACCTGTCTGTGTAATGAACAAGAAACAAGTTCCTGAAACCTGTGTGACTTTGAGTCGAGGAGCTGAGCACCAATTCAATTTTGGCTGTTAGCTCCCACATAAACCTGCAGTTACATAACCAGGGCAGAACTCCTAAACAAAGGGGAGCCAGCTTTTCAGTTGCTGTAAACCTGCAGAATCTCCCTGAAGGCTAACAATGATTGAGTCCAGAAACTCACGCACTAGCTGGCAAACCCAAACTTGCAGAACTAAAGAACATAGGACAGTGAACAGACTCTTGCTGGATCATATCATTTTGGGAGCACTGAGAATTTGCAGGCCCCTAGTCTGAGTTGTGAAAGCAGCAGGGCAAAGTAGAAATTGAAAGAATCCACCAGGTACCCCCCCAAAAGAAACCCTAAAATTTAAACTCCTAGGAATATTGTAGTCAAAATCTAGAACTCAGAAGTCAAAGAAAAAATATAGCAAGCAGCCAGAAAGAAGAAAGTTAAGTACCAGAGAGCAACAGTCAAGATCACACAAGAATTTGCAGCCTCCACTTTGAAGAAATGGAAAGCTTAAAATGTGGTATTCTGGAAGGCAAAGGATTTAAGATTACAATTGAAAATAACCTACCCTGCAAAACTGAGCATCATCCTACAGGAGAAAAATCCACCTGTAATAAAAAAGTAGACTTCAAGCATTTTTGTTGAAAAGACTGGAGCTGAGTAGAAAATTTGACATTCAAATACAAGATTCAAGAGAAGAATAAAGAGATAAACATGAGTGAGAAATAATAAAGAACTAAACAAAGTTAAACTATTAACATTTTTATGTGGAGAGATGATATCATCACCAAGGGTCTTACAGGGAGTCTAGAGGGCTTGGCTGTGATTCTGTTATGGTTTGGATGGTCTCAGAAGAAGAATCAAGTGTGGGGAAAAATAGTATATTGGGAAAAGGGGGAAATAAGAAGAATGGGGGGGAAATTATCTGACTTAAATGGGGCATGCAAAAAAGTTTATACAACAGAGAGGTCAGTGGCAGGATGGACAACATTCAAACCTCACTCTCATCTGAATTGGTTAAAATAGTGTAGAATATACATATATACACAGTTGGATACAGAAATTCATCTTACCCAGCAGAGTAATAGCAGGGAAAGGGGTTAGGAGAAAGGGAAAGAGTTAGGTAAAAAGGAAGGTAGATTAAGGGAAGCAGTGGTCAGAAGCAAAAGAGACTTTTTAAGAAGAAACAAGAAAAATAGAGAAGGAAAAGTATAGGAGAATAGGATGGAAATAAATATACAAGTCAGCAGTCAAAACTATGAGTGTGAGTAGAATCAATTCACCCATAAAATGGAAGAGGATAACAGACTGGATCAGAAAATGGAATCCAACAATATATTGTTTAAAAGAAACATGCTTGAAACAGAAAGATATATGGGGTTAAAGTAAGTGGTAGAACAGAATCTATTATGCATTAGCTGCAATAAAAAAAGGCAGTAGCAATCATAAGCTCCGAGAAAACAAAAGCAAAAATAGATCTAATAAAAAGATAAACATGGAAACTACATTTTGGTAAAAAGTACTACAGACAATGTATTTTTTTTTTTTGTAGGCAGTTGCTGTTAAATGACTTCCGCAGGGTCACACAACTAGTAAGTTGGTCTGAGGCCAGATTTGAACTCAGGTCCTTCTGACTTCAGGGCCGGTGCTCTATCCACTGTGCCACCTAGCTGTCCCGACAATGAATTTTAATACCAATACTAAATATAAATATATGTGTGCATATCTCAAATGATAGTAGCATCTAAATTATAAAAGAAAAGTTAAATGAGTTACAGGAGAAAATAAGACAGTAAAACTATAATAGTGAGTCTCCCCAATTTGCCTGTCAGAGACCTAGATAAATCTAACCATAAAATAAAACAAAAAAGAAGTTAAAGAAGTGAATAAAATTTTAGAAAAGTTAGATATTCTAAACCTCTGGAGAATATTGAATAGGGATAGAAAAGAGTATACTTATTTCTCAACTGTGCTTGTCATCTTCACAAAAATTGACCATTAACCATTAATACTTCATAAATATAGAAAAGCAGAAATATTAAATGTATCTTTTTCTGACTCTAATGCAACAAACAATTATATTTACTAATGGGCCTTTTGAAGCATAGAGTAAAAATTAATTGGAATCTAAATAATTTAACTTAATCCTAAAGAGTGCGTAGGGCAA